ATATGGATAGATAGATAGATAGATAGATAGATATAGATAGATATATTTATAGATATATTGATATATTATATAATATAAACCCACGTACAAAGTAATCACGTACACGTTCTAAGATGTTTCTGTCTAAAGTGGGTTGTAAATGCTGGCAGATTTGCGCAAGGTTTATTTTTTACGATCCTCTTTCAGGTTTGTGTCCAGACTGCCGACCAGCCAGACCGCCGCCATGATGCTGCACCTGATCCTACTCATCACTGCTGTCTGCACCACCGTCTGTAGAACATCGCAGGACACAAAGCACCAGATGCTGTGTAAAATCAGGGAATCATGCCAGGACACTGGTAAGTGTTGAATACTATTTCATTTCGCAACCTTAATTTTTTTTTTGTCATTATGCTATCGTTCGCGGTAATCGCGAAGGTATTAAGAACCAAGTCAACGTCGCACGTTCGTGCGTTCGATGCAATTCGATCGCGGTTCTTGCATTTCTCTGTCCTTCAGTTGTTTTTACTATCTCTTTCTTCTTCATCATACCGACCTGTGTAATTTGCAATAACAACAGTCGGGATAGCAATGACAAGCGGATGAACTTTCACCGATTTCCACCGCCGGATGAGAAGCGCCAAGAATGGATAGTTGAACGTTGACCAGGATCTTAAGAACTTCGCGATTACTTCATTGTGAAAGTATGGAGGCGGTCAACCTGTGAACGGAAAAGCCGGCAGCATTCTTAACTACTACATGTATAAACTCACAGACTTAATGTAGAAATTCCTTTTCAGTCTCTTCGGCTAATCTGTCTAAATGTGTGGCAAAAAAAAAGAAAAACACTACGGATTTGGTACGCTTATGTGCCAGCATCAGCACATTTGCCACCTAGAGCCGGAATTTGTTTTCGAAATGGTAGGCAGACAATACTTGTGTATAGTTGTTCCTGATATCATAGGTTTAAGGTCATTCAAAATACTTTTCTCGCGATCGCAAGCTTTTCAGACATTGTTAAAAAGTTTTCCTACTCCATCACAAACGATAATGTCGATATAATATTTACTTATGTTGAGTGTGTAAGATTGAGGCCACACTGGCTTAATTTTATGGATGACGTCCTCTTATGATCCCATAACGAATGCGAGAGGGTGAATAAAGAATACGGCAAAAGTCCTGCTAAACCACTGGAATTCAAAGCTGGTATTGTAAATTTAAATTACTGTCAAACCTGCCAAAGTGACCACCTCTTCAAGCTGGCTACCTGGCATGGTGACCCTTTATGGTCCTAAAATGTCCCCCATTCAAACAAACATTAAACAACCTGCCCAAGGTGACCACCTGGCCAACGTGACCGTGACCACCCTGAGTTGGGTCCATTCAAGGCCTGATACCTGCCAATGGTGACCACATCATTTTCGATCATGTTAATTATTGATGATAGCTAATGAGAAATCATGGAGAAACCAGCCAGTTTGCCTCAACTGTTGGGACAAAAACATGTTTATGTTCAACGTTATTTGTTCCATGTGCCATTATACCCACATCCATTCACCACAAAAATGTTTAATTAACATTTCACATTAAAACATCTTGACTTGGAAACCATTAGTTATGACTCAGTCATGTTGTGAGACGACCCTCTTCAAGGAGACCACCTGTCCAAATGACCACGTTTCTTTGGTCCCCAGGGTGGCCGGCATGGACAGGTTTGACTGTATTACTTCAACGACGTCAATCCGGCAAATTCTCGCCTTTTGCGGTAATGACTCAAGATCACTAATAAAATGACTTTCTCCGTGCAGATCTGACCAAGCCTAACCCCAACGACACCTCTCCGGCGAATGACCTGTGCAGAGCTGCAGAAAACGACCTCAAGTCTCTCGACCCCTCCACCTGTGGTATGTTGCACTTGAGTTAAATGGCTGTTTCAGTTGTCGGTTATATAATTGTATTCCAAGAGTGTAAAAATAAATATACTGTTATCATATCTTTCATCTATCTCTGTGTGTTGTAGAAATATATTCGTGCTATCTATTGGCAATATTGTTGATTATCTCTTCAATCCAAGCTCACCGTAATGCCATGTTGAATTGATTGTATGGATGACATTCGCGCTCGCATGAATTTTCGGCCGTTTCAAAAAAAAAGGTTTCAACCATACTGTAAAACACTTGCAAATAAGCAAATACATGCCGTTATGAATTTGAAGAGTAGATTATTCGCCAAACCATACTATGTGTTATTTGTTCAACCTTCACGACCACGTAAATTTTATAATGGAAGTTTTTTTGCAAAACTTTTTTTTATTCGTACGATCGCATCAGTTTTGGGGTTCCCAAAGGATGTCATCCATGTAATCGAATCAACATGGTCTAAGTAGTCATAGTAGATGCTTGATTCGAACGAAGCCCACGACGACACTTCAACATACTTCTTCCACAGCCCTTCCACAGCGCGCTGCCAAGGATATACCTTCCATAGCGCTCTTCCGCAGCCCTTCCACAGCACGCTGCCAAGGATATACCTTTCATAGCGCTCATACGCGGCCCTTCCACAGCGCGCTGCCAAGGATATACCTTCCACAGCGCGCTGCCAAGGATATACCTTTCATAGCGCGATTCCGCGGCCCTTCCACAGCCCTGACATACAGCGCTGCACCGAGGCCCTACACCCCCTATTACGGTCCCTTATAGTACCTTTGACCTTACATACACTAAATGTGGCTCACAGAGAAATAGAATTTTGTGGCCATCTTGCTTTCCAATAACTAAACAATCCACGCAATAATGTGGTGGAAAACAACAACGTGGTTACATGTACATTCGCATGCTACTCTACTGGGCTACTCTAAGTTCTTACTATATACTCTGTTATGATTGTGTTATAAATACAGCAGATATAAATTTAGTTACACACACAATATGAAATATACTGTAACAGTAACTGTGTATACTGTAACAGTTAGAAATAATCAGGGAATGTTTGATATTTTTTCCAATAGGGGGGTTGCAGAGCCTCGGTGCACATTTAGTGGATGTAAGATGGAAATAAAAAGTGTAAAGTTAGTTAAAGACTTCAGGTCAAAGGTCGTACACTATGAGGGACCGTCCGCTATGTTAAGGGGGGTTGCAGCGCATCGGTGCAGCGCTGTGTGTCAAGGCTGTGGTAGAGGTGTATGGCAGGTACAAATGTATATCCCTTGGCAGCGCTGTTGAAGAGCGCTATGCCTTTGAAAAGTACTGTAAATTTATTTTTGTTCGCGGGGGGTAAATTTCGCGTTAGGAAAGGAAAGAAGTGGGGTCGTGTGGCGCAACTGCAGCGTGCGCGACTCGGAATCAAGAGGTCCCGGGTTCGAGTCTTGACATGCCACCGATCTTGTGCCCTTGAGTACTCTCCTGGAAGAATAGCTGCCACCCTCGGGTGGGCAGCTAAAGGAGAGTCTCTCCTCAATAAACCTTGGGAAAGGCACTTTACACGACTTTCCCCACTACATTGTCGGTCCAGTATTCGTTTCTATGTGCGGGACACAACACCAGCAACAGCTGCCTCTGTTCCGTGTGTATTGCACTGATGCAATTTCAATAAATAAAAAAAAAGATTTTTTACGGTGTCTTAGTTCGCGGTTGAAACATTTACAGTGCCTTTACTACGGTTACAAGGTGGACTGAACTGAACTGAACCGCCAAAGAAGACTACGGTTACAAGATGACTATTATTGTAGGCATTGCAAAGGTCATAGACAAGCTTAGCTGCTAGTACACAATATTGTGCCAGTATGCCGCTATTGATGCATGTTTTCCATTATTGTCTTGAGTAATTTGCAATGCTGAAGCACTGCGCGGTTCTTGTTGCGGAAACAATAGAGATGAAGGCTCAAATAGCGCGGTTCTTGTTGTGGAAACAATAAAGATGAAGGCTCAAATAGCGCGGTTCTTGTTGTGGAAACAATAGAGAAGAAGGCTCACAGAGCTTCTTCATTAGACTCTCCTGATATGTATCTAAATGAGTGAAGCAAGTTCATGTGTAAGTTCATCTGAGATTACTAGTGCCAAACGTATATACTTGGCAGCGCGCTGTGGAAGGGCCGTGGAAGAGGTTTGTGGATGTGTCGTTGTGGGCCTTCGTAGATTCGATTGGTGTTGCTGATTAGTTAGTATTCTAATGTAAGACTCCGTTTTTCTTTCGTCGAAAAGACTGGATTTCCCTGTTCCTAGAAACGTACGCGTACATGAACCGGAGCATATAGAAACAGACTTTTGTTTGTACGTTTTCTGTTTTGAAAAAGCGACTGTCGAGGTAACTTAATGACATTTCCTCATTTTTTCCTGATTTTCCTATTTTTCCCTTACAGAATCGCTACGTACTCGGGAGACATATGGTCAAGGCAACGAAAACCCTAAGCAACCAGACAGTGAGGACGGAGAGATTTTTGATCTGATAAAAAGTAAGGAACTGCACATTCTACATTATTCTAGTATAAACGGAATGATTAGAATTTTTCGAGTTTTATCAAATTGTCTTATTTTCTACAACGGGGCATGTGAATATACCGGAGGCTAGAGCCAGACTTCTGTTTCTACTTTCCTGCTTTGAAAAAAGGACGTAGGCCACAATAAGTAAATTCCATGTATGGCATACTATGCAGCACTATGCAGACTCGAAATCTAATGCAATAGTGCGAAAAAAAGGCGAGCCAAAAAACAAGATTCATATATTTTTGAATCTTGACATCATAAACCTTGTTAAACAAGAAATGATACCTATATTGTGCTAAGTTTATTGCCATTTTTTTACAACATTCATTTCTTAATGTAACAACCATTAAAAAAATTAAGTTTTAATCATTGTACAAATGAATTTGATGCAGTGGGAACATCAGATATACACAGCCATTATCACATATAAAAGGAATGAAATTCCTTACTGCATTTAAGTAAAAAAAACACATCTAATCAGAGTCTTGTCCCCTCTCTTCTTTATCTGCTGTCCACGTCCGGCATGGCAGCAGGCATCTTTGCCCATTTTGGCTTATTGACCACTGTCAGAGGACATCAAAATTTCCTTTTTTCCCAAATCAGGTGAAAATCAATGCGTGCGCTGATGTTATCAACAAAATTATTTGCTATGGCCTTACATGTTTTACATTGTGTCATTCCCTCTGTCTTCTGACTTAGTGTTGTTTCCTTACAGAATTTCTGTCTCGTGAGATCGAGGACCAAACTGACAACGACAGTCCCGAGAAGCCAGACAATGTGGACAGCCAGACAGCCCACACCGACCCGGCTCCACCGGCCTTAAGCAAGCGCGGAAATTACTTTTCCGACTGTTCTGAGATTCACACAGCCCAAACTCTGTATCATACCGTGTCTAGTGGTGTACACAAAATATTGCCTGTAGGTCTGTCCAGCCCGATCTCTGTATACTGTGATCAGACCACAGATGGGGGAGGGTGGACGGTCATACAGAGGAGGTTTGACGGGTCTGTCGACTTTAACCGTCCTTATGGCGACTTTAAGTACGGGTTTGGGTCAGCCAACGGGGAGCATTGGCTAGGTTTGGAGAACATGTACCGTTTAACCAATCAGCACACGTATACGCTGAACGTACAGTTGGAAGATTGGAATAGTGTGGTCAAGTACGCAAAGTATTCGTCATTCTCGGTGGGGAGTAGTTCCAACTATCGTCTTTCTGTTAGTGGGTACAGTGGGAACGCTGGGGATGGGCTCTCCTACCATTCGGGCCAGGCCTTCAGTGCTAGGGATGTAGACCGTGATACATGGTCCAGCGGGTCCTGTGCTGGTGGTCGCAGTGACTACACGGGAGGGTGGTGGTACAAGTCCTGCGCTTATTCTGCCCTGAACGGCCCGTACCTCCGCCTCTCTGACCGTACCGGTAACAGTGGCTATGGTATCTCTTGGTACTATTTTCGAGGCTCCTATTCGCACTATCTGAAAAAGTCCAAAATGATGGTCCGTCCGGCCAACTTCAAAACGTAAGTTGCCGGACACTAACCCAGCTGACAGGTCGAGGATTCAAATTGTTTGATAAAAACCATAATCCAGCACTCACTCTGTATCCATTTTCTTTAAATAGGTCAAATCTTTCAAGTTACTTATTTGGTTACCTCGGACTCTCGATACAGGAAATTTACACATACATACATACATACACGCATGCATACATACATAGTTTACATACATACATACATACATACATAATACTCGGAGAGTTGAAGCATCTATATAGTTCAGCTTCCAGCGTTTTCTATCGTACATCATTTCCGTAATAAGTTCTTTTCCATACCAGTCTCTAACCCAATAATGTCATTTAGTGTAGACTGTAGAGTTTGGACGACCTCTTCTCATCTTCCGGAGACCAAATAAGCGGTTTCCACCCGGTTCGCCATGCCTAGTAACATGGCCGGCTAGACTTAACCTACGTCGCTTGACTACTGTAGAGATTGGTGGAAGGGAGCCGTAGAGTTGTTTATTATTTGTAGATTTCCACCAAGGTTTGTTCTGTATGAACTGTAGCATCTTTGATAAAGGTACCATCCAGTTTTCTGACCTGTGAAGCATTCATACTCCACGACTCGCAGCCGTATAACAACATTGAAACAACAAAGGCTTGAAACACTTTGGTTTTTGTTTCCTCCCTGACCCGTGATTTTCAGACTCTTTTGAGAGAACGTATGGCACTCCAAGCCTGACTAATTCTAACCTCCATTTCCTGTTTGAAATCTTTACCCCCCCCCCAAATATCTGACGTCAGTGACCCTTTCAATTGTAGATCCGTCAGAAGTATAGAGTTGTTCCGAGGATTTGGGATTTAAATGGATGGATTTAGTTTTTGATGCATTGAAATACAGCACAATGGTTTGACATGCAGTTTTGACTCTGTAGAGCAGGTCTTGTACAAGTTGTATTGTGTCCTTGAGAAGACCAATATCATCCGCAAAATCAAGGTTAAGGAGGGTCTCTACCGGGTAGCGACTACTACGACGGTGATGCAGGGTGAGACCATCAGTTTCTGTGATGGCTACCCGTAATGCATAATCTAATAACAAATAAGGATGGGGCAAGGGGGTCCCCCTGTAGAATACCAGTATTAATGTAATAAAAGTAAAAGAGAAATATTGCATTTTCCTAAATCTGCAGTTATGTTTAGTCAGTTTATAACTACACACACCACTCAAAAAGCTCATCATACTCTAGATTCACAATTTTATCATAAAAGTTACTAACCAGGCATCTAGATTGATTTTGTTTGTTTGTTTGTTTATTGAGATCTCCATTAGTATGGTAAATTCTATACTATTCTTTCTAGAGTCCAGCAACATAAGATAAAATGACAACAATAATTACTTTTAGCAATAATGATAATAAATAAAACTTATGCTGAAATTATGAAAAACTTGAAATAAAATCAGCATACAGAAATAAAAGTGCATTGGAGATCTTAAGTTAAATAATAGAAATAATATGTCTGAAAAAGAAGTTATAATTGATGTACTTTCCTATAAATGGAAAATTAAAGTAAAAAAACAGTAAACAAATATTTGACTGACACAAATGATAACGAAAATAAAGATAACAAATGAACCATTCTATATGCAACAAAATGTTATTCCTTTAAATTGAGTGATTAAATAAATGACTACAAAAGAAGAGAGATCGCAGATCAATACTAGATTGCTAGACATCTGATGTTGCTTTTGTTAAAAAATTGAAATATGCAAGAAGCATTTATGTTGTGTTTGAAGCTATAAGTATGAGATCGTCATTCTTTCTAAAACCCTTGATGTATGGAACCCTAGAAGTTTTACCATGTTTGAAACATTCCCTGTCAGCCTGTATAAGGGTTAGAGCACAATAAAAAGACATTCAATGATGCAGCGCTTGTTTTTGTTGTTTTTGTTTTCTTCTTAATTCCATAGCAAATTGTTATAGGTTATTTTACAGTAACTAAAATATATTTTATGCAATACCATACCTAACCGCTAGAGTGGGTTTGAAAAACGTCTTTATCGTAAAATAATTGGGATCGTCTAAAATGGTTAAGGGTGTTACTATTTTTTTGTCTTCTGTATATATTATCAGTCAAACCTGTCCTGGGCGACCATAGGACAGGTGGTCTTCTTGAAGAGGGTCGCCTCATAACATGACTGAGACATAATTGTTTTAAAGTGAAGGTGGTTCAATGTCAAATGCTTTGAGCATCTTCAGTTCTGTCGTAAATGTAAGTGTGGAGGGTGGCACATGGAACAATTTATGTCAAACAAAAGAATCAACAGGATCAAAAATGATGTGGTGGACAGGTTTGCACAACTCACGGCGGTCACGGTCGACCGCGTTGGCCAGGTGGTCACCTTGGATAGGTCGAAGTGACCGAGAAAAAACAGTCACCATGGCCAGGTCACTTTGGCGTGTTTGACTAAATCTGAAATTGAACCACTACAGTCAAGAATTATGTTAACGTTATACGTTAGACGATTAGAGGATTAGATATAGGGCCACGTAATTTTAACATTTCGTAAAACTATCTATTCTGTTATTGAGATATTCATTTTGTATCAATTACATAATTATATATTAACAATTATTGAAGATTAACAAAATAGCCCCTAACGTTTTTCTTCTTTGCCGTCTAAACTGAGGTACAAGTATACATACAGGTTTATGACAAACACCAATGTAATAATAAAGACTGTTTATCTGTCGATCTGTTGTTTTCAATATTTAAGGTTCTAAACGTCCTCTTTAGTGCTAGCTAAAGCTGACTAAACTCTTACTCTCTTATCTCGTGTAAGTGGCATCAGACTAATGCTAGAATTAATCCAACAACCCAGTGCAATTAATTTCTTCATTTTTTTTTAAATGATCAAAGCTGTTTTGCAAGACATGGCGATGGCACAGTCAAGGTTTTTCACCTTATTTTACAAAAGCCATGTGTTTGCGTTTACACGTACAGCAGACAAATTTATTTTCACCTTGTTTAAGTGAGCAAATTCTTGTCACGTACATTTTCAAAGTGCACAAGATCGGTAGCATGGAAGGATTCAAACTCGGGACCTCTTGGTGCCGAGTCGAACGTTCTGCCGTTGTGCTACAAAAACATGGCCCCAATACATGAAATTATGTTATTAGTTGGGTCATGACGGAATGGCTATGGATTTTTACTATGATATATTTATGAAATGGAAAAAATACTGGCCTACTATGCTTCGCTGTTGCATGAAGGGGAGGAAATGAGGCACAGACGCCCCCTTGCGGAACATCAGTCTAACTACATCCCCGAACACGTAGAAGATGTACTGTATTATTGTACGGCGCTGTTCCGGTGCTTGTGATCTCGGTTTCTGACTTGTCGTTATCAAGGTTTGGACCTGCCTTTAACGATCCATGATTATAGTCTATTGATCATGCAATGGATCTTTAAATTGATATGACCATTAGTACATTACACAAGACGGATTTTGTACCGTTAAGATGGTTTAGAAAAATAGTTAAAAGGCAACATTTTATAGCCTGGGTGCCATCCTATTTGTATGCCGGGGATTTCATACTCCCCCCTTAATTTTTTTACGGAGGAGCCCCGGCATACAAACAGGATGGCACCCAGGCTAAACATTTCAAACAAGAAGTCGGAAAATTCAGACTTTGAGTTGCGGAAAGTATTTTTGTTTTCGTAAATTTTAGAAGCTATGAATGGACCTTTATGATTTGGTGATTATGGAATTTGGTGATTTTGTTTGTGATATTTTGTAGGTAATTTTCTAACTACCTGATCACGCCATACCAGCGTATGGCGTGATCGGGTAGTGAGAACACCGTGGCGGGCGGGTCGTGCACGCCGGGACAAGGGAGACCAGGCCGCCCCCTGCATCCACGCACCGCGGGTCGCCTGTCGTAAACGCCAACAAACAAACAAACAATCAGAAGTTTCAAATATCACATATTCTACTCCAACTGGGTCTAGAACTTTTCGGCCGAGTGGTTAGAGCGTCGGAGTTTGCAGCTGGTGCTCAGGAGGTCGTGGGTTAGATCCCGTCTGTGATTTCCAAATGTTATGTATGGCAATAATGATCTTAAATGAGAAGATGTCTTCTTCAACAGGCAAATTTCTTACGCAACGTTGACCAAAATCTGGTTCTTTACATGCAGCTTTAATCTTACAAGTTACGTACAAGTTTTTTCGGAGAATCAAGAACATATGCAGGATGCCAGATTTACGCTTTGGTAAACTTACTGGTGGGCTGGGAGTCTATAAACGGGATCATGTTAACACCACAATCAGACTGCGGGGAACGGAGACTCGTGGCTTCAGATCAAGGCACTGTTGTCGATGCAACAAAGGCACTTTAGAGACATTCATGATTAAATTCACATATTCACAATTAGTGTTTATACTTTTAACAGGTGAGCAGGTTAGTGGGACAACTTTATTGCTACACTATACTACCTCTTAGATACAAGTACTGTATGTTTCATAAAGGTCAACTCGACCAATGATGACTATTCATGTACTGTCTAGGGGGAGGGCAACTCTGGGGACTATTCATGTGCTGTCTAAAGGGAGGGACAATGTTAAGGACTGTTCATGTACTGTCTAAGGGGATGGACAACGCTGGGGACTGTTCATGTACTGTCTGAGGAGAGGGACAACGGTGGGGAATATTCATGTACTAGGGGAGGAATGGTATGAAAGACTGTTCATGTGCTAAGGGGAAGGACAACGCTAGGGACTATTCAAGTATACTGTTCATGTACTGTCTAGTGGAGACTGTTAATTTTCTGGACCGCGGATAATGTTGACGTGTAATCAGCAAACAAGACAACGGAAAAAAAACTTGTTGAAAAAAAGAAACAAACTTGGCTTCTGCTTTAACATCTTAACCCCTTGTATCTGTAATTAACTTAATTAACGTCTACTATTGGTCTTTTGACACCCCCCCCACAGCACAAGTGTGCAATAGCAGACAAAGCAGACAAAATTATGGCTGCACGATTGTTTGTGCAAATAGAGAGCATGTCCATTTTGACAGGTACAGACAATGGCAGAACAGTGATACTTTGTTATCAGTAGAAAAGCAAGTGGAAACAAGCCAAAAACTTAAAGTTCAATGCCTCATAGTGTTATCTATGACTTACATAGTCACGCGTTCACAAAAGGCACCTTGGGATAAGAGGATTTGCAGACAAAGGTTTGGAGTATCGTATACCATTTTTTGTGTGATCAAAACAATTCCGAGTGACTTCTAATTAGGCAGTATAGCGAAGCGTGCGACTACTGTTTACGCTTCATGACAGTATCAGATCCCTCGTCACTTTGACCTCAGTTCGGGTTAAGATATGTGTGAGGTATGTTTGGCGATGGCGGGGACACGAGGACAGAGGCTCATGACAGAGGCAAAATGACGGGGTCTATGCGCAGAGATGTTTTCCCATCTTAAATGTACATTCATCTCCGGTTTTTATTCATCATTATACTAGTAAAAATTTTGTGAATCCAAGAAGGCACCCTAGCCTCTGAATTCGAAGGCTATATTTTTCTCAGAGAATGCTTATATAGGGATTACATTGTTTTTGAGTGTCTTTTTTTCTTTCTGTTTTGCTGGATAGTTCAAACCGCAATCTAGGCTTTGGGTAACAGCGGGGTGTGTGGACTGTTGCCCGGGTTTATATGGTCCAGTGGGTACGATTTGGCGCACTATAGACAGGACCATCCTTTTAATTACAGAATATTTTGTATTATGGATTTTCTTCTGTTATTGGCAGGATAGTCCTGTCAATAGTCCAAACTTCTTCACTATTGAAAAATCCTGTCAGTAGTGTGAAAAAATTTTATTGTTGATGATCATCTAAATTTCAAACGAGCAAAACTCTAAGGTTCATACAATCCAAAATGGTCCATACGACATGAAATTCAAATATGAAAGGATTTGGGGCCTCATGATACTGTTCTGATATCGCATACATGCGTTAGTTTACTCAACATACAAAACTTGCTCCAAGTGTGGTGAGTTTT